TGGGAAAGCATTCAAGCAGGCCCCCGCCCCATGGCGTTTGAACACCTGAGTGCCAGATGCATTTTGCTAGAGCCACCATGCGCTCGTCTCGAGCGACGTTTCAAGAGCTGGTACTCTTTATATGTTACTGCACAAAAATCACAGTAATTAGCAGCAAGCACTTGTTACTCTCGTCAGTCGATCAGAGGAACCAGTCGGTCGAAATACGGCACCAGCGGCCGCCGAAAGTTGAAGTAGAAAAAATGACGTTCAAACATACCGGCTGGGGACAAAATGGGTTAAAGAGTTTATTAATAAAGTGACGCTTCGTACGGCATTGCACCATGAGTAATAAAAATCAACTAATTGGTTGTCGTTAGCCTTGACAAGGCTCGATGTCTTTGTTGTTCAAAACGGACGTTGCCGTAAAAGCTTTCAATTCATCTATTGCCACAATTACTGAAATCGATGGTTGTTCTGCCCGCTGAAATATGAATAAAGAAAAGTTTGCAATCGCGGAAGTCAGTATCCTTGTTCTGAAGATATGGCGCCAGATGTGGCGGCCTTTGTTTTCATAAAGTTCATGGCGCGTGGCTGTTCTCCGTTTCCTGAACATCTGCCAGCCGTGCTCTACTGTTCTATCTTTTTCAAAGCCTATCTGCAACCTGGTGACCACTATAGCATGTAGTCTCTTTATTAGTCTCTTTATCAACTTTGAAACAAAGAAAAGCGGGTGATTTCACTGAGGTTAGAGTGCAGAATCTCTCGGTTTTGAATCTGATGCCTTACCATCATGGAAGTCTTTGACATCACTGTTTCGCAGCACTTTTCATGTCTTTGACACCTACTGTACCTTTAGTAATCAAGACATGGAAAATGCTGCGAAATAGTGATGCATAAATCTGGATATGGATATCGTCGTTTCTCTGAATAGAGGATGGTTTCTGACCTCATTGCTAAAGCATGGATAGAAAAACTCTACTAGTAGACCGATGTTGTATACAAAAAGCATGCCGATCTCCGTTGGAATGTCGGTTTTCTTTACACTAAAATTATGGGGCCAATCCCACCACCCTTGTTTTTATGAAGGTAATGGTGGAGTACTGACTACCATTTCCATGTCATCAGCCAAGCGCGTCTTGCTTTTTACAGGCAGGCGCATCGACAGCATCAGCAACAAAAGCAACGTCAATCATAGAGGCTAGCAGCAGCCAATTACCTCATTCCTAATGCTGATAATGAACGCTGCCTTTGTTGCTCTGCGAAGAATCAGTTTGTTAATAACTTCAGTTAACTTGATTTGTGCCTCCTATCGTTAAGTTAGAAAATCGATCAAGTCTGGACCTCATTTTCGCGCAGTACTTCAGTTGACTATATACCGAGGTAGATTGTGCCATTTTTCTCTCTTTGTTTCTTGAACTCATTCGCAAATCATTTTCGTCTTGCCCATGAGTGACAATTTTCCGTTCAGAGGACACAGGTAAAGATTTCTCCACATGGGGATCATATAAGAAGTGGTAATCAATTTTTTTGTTCGAGTCTAGAGAACTGCCAGCCTCTATTTACCACTGAGCTTGTTAGCCGCGCTCATGACGTCTACGCGACTAATGAAAGCCCCCGAGCATGACCGTGCTCACAACAATCAGTTGTTCTGGAATTTAGCCGCCATTTGCGACGAGACACCTGGATCTGAGCTAATGGATAGGTAACGATGAGTCGATATTAAATTCGAAATGATTATATGCTTCACCTAAATTTTCGAGATTTCAAAATCATTCTAACTGATATCATCATCTTCAGTCCTAGAAGACGGCAAAAGAGCAGTGTTCTGAGTTTGTTTCATTACGATGTTGACTTACAAAAGCCCAAAGAACGACAATTCAGCATAACGATCAGTCTCTGCCAATGTTAACTTGCGAGTCAAAACCCATGGCTCAATATCATCCAAACAGCGTGAACCTAAAGTCCGAAACTTTGTAATAATTTAATCCAAGTCTGTGTTCGAAACAATGAGAAAATAACAGATCCAATCAAAGGCTCATCGATGCCACATAACCTCCTTTCGCTCAAGTGAGGATCTGCTAGTGGCGCGGGAGCTTTCTCCAGTAAGTAGAGACGGGCGGGACCATCAGCCACTGGCCAATGATATCTGTCCGTTATCAAAACCTCGTAACAGCCTCCACGGAATCCGTTGGGCGAATTAAGGTTGGAGAAACATCGGAAATTGTTCACGAAGGTTGGGACTCCGAAAGGAGTGCCGAAACAACACTGGTGAAAAACGCTGAAGAACAGAGCAGAATGGGAATCGTCGATTTGTGTTCCTGAAACGCAAACAACGAGGATTAGTCAGATGAATGACAAGCAGTTGATAAGCGTTGCCATCACTTGTCCAACTGGACTCCTCTAAAACCATCAAAATCAGCTACTTCCTCAGAGTTTTCAATAGATGGAGACCTTATGCTGCAATTACAACGGCTCGCGCGCTATTGCTTTTGACTGACATAATGTTTAAAATCTCAGAATCCCAGAGAGGCACTTTTCAGTCCACGATTCATGCCAAGCGGCACTTCATTGACTCATCGAAAGGTCTAGAATTTTCGCCTCATTAGCTCATGATTACTTCGTCATGATCATACTGCTGGCAACTTCGTGAGGTTCATGTCAGAAAAGATCAGTCCGTAGAGCATCGGACTTATAGAGTCGAAAGTCGATCTTGGTTTCGAATCCCCACATCAGGATGATTTGTCTTTCATCCTTCAGGCGTAGACAGATGAGTACCAGTAGTAGTAGTTGTAATAAACTGCATCAGATTCGTTTGCCCTAAAGTTGGCAGTATACATTATATACTCTGCGGTGAGCGACGTCCGGCCTACACCGTTGTACTGCCTACCAATGTAATGTTAATGTGTTTAGAAAACGGGCAGTTTACAACGAGGAACAATGAAAGTTCGGTGCGGAGGTAAAAACACCACACAGTTCTTTGTCAGTTCAGTGCGTACCGTAATAGATTAGCGATCGTGAACGCTGATCTGCTCCATTTCCTCGGCGCTACGCACAACTTGCCGCCGCTACTCGATAATATCTTCGACTCGGTACTCGACCTGCATCGTAAGGACTTCGCAAGGACGAGTAAGTTCAAAAGTGTATTTTAAAAACGATTTCTGCAACGATCTCGCATCAGCCGTGTGAAGCGAAGATTCGACTCGTCAGCAACAATCAGACGTT